AGGAACATCTCTTTCAGCTAAAGGCTCCATGATGATAGGCAAAGTGGCAGGGTATGTCATACCGAGTCTTTGAGCACGAGTTCGTACCCACCTAAGATAAGGCTCAAAAATAATGGAGTTCTTACGCCCCAATGTCTTGCTATCCACTTTATTTATCATTCTCTAAGATCGTATGTACCTTTGACGGTAGCCTTGGTTGTCGCCCTCATAGTCGAATACCAAACCTTGGATGAGTGCATCGTGAGGACCATCTCTTCATGCATACCCAAATTATCGTAATGCAAGAGAAGGGTTATAGGTGATACCTCCCCTAATGCCTAAGAGTGGTACATTAGGGAATTCCCCACAATGGTCAATGATAGTAGTATCCTCCAAAGACCGAGAACACCAATAAATGTCAGAGTGTGTGAGGGATATCATCCTTTGAGACCATGTCAAAGCTTGCTCGTTCTTCAATGTTGATCGAGGTAGGTGCAAAGTAAACCACTTGGCGAGTAAGGGAATGTAACACAAGAGAGTACCTTTTTTCTTCATTGTGTGAGTGTGGAAACAATGTAAAATGTCTCTAAGAAAAGTAGGTATAGGATTACGAGAGAGGAAAACCTTGATGGCATTCACATCTATGAATTTGTCCAGATTGGGAAATAGAACCAAACCATAGATTAGAAGGGCCAAGACATCTTCAAAGGATTGAAAATCCATATCATCCCAGAATAAACGAGCCTTCTCCAACAGAAACTTGGCTAGGAAACCCTTAACTCCGCTTCTTATCTCCCAATTTGCTATAATGTTGGCTCTCTTCAGATGCAGGGCTTTGGCAATGACTTCGGGCTTTGGAGTCTCCTCTAAACCGGTGAACGGTATTTTCTCAAGCACATGCACTCTTAACAGTTGAGAGAACTCTTCTAGTGTAGGCACCAACTGATAGTCAGGAAAGGTGGAGCAATGATGCATGGGATCAAAGAATTGGAAGAGCACACACATCATTTATTCTTGGAATTTGGAGGTAGCTAAGCTGAGAAGTAGACCATATTTATCGATGAAGGGAGAATATCTAGGCACCCTTGATGCTAATTCTTGGAGTTGAGAGTGTGCTTTCACGAAGCTGATTCGGAAGCTGTATAGAAAAATCATATGATACCAACATAACTATTTAGAAAACATTCATGGGAGTCAGGAACACTATCTCATTGAACTATGCTTTCAAAATAACCTTGCTTCAATTAGGACTTTTGAAGGTTGTAATGTGGTCTGGTTCATGGTTTTAGAAAAAAGGATTTAAGGCTCAAAATATTTGGTGCCCACCCCCTTCATGATGTTCTCCAATCCTATGTTCAGTTAATTCAACATGAGCGTTCATCTCTCAAAAGGATTTTGTGACGGTTAAGGAAACGACGAGGCTTTCGGAGTAGAAACCACCCTCATGTCTTCGTGTTTGTAGTCACCAATTTGTTCTTTGCTGAGGAATTTTCTTTGTAGTCCTTTCTTTGCAATTTTTATTTTCCCTAACTTTTGCCTGAACTAATTCTTTTGAATTGATAGTCCAGCGGGATGCCTTAGTTTTTGCCTAAGTCGTAAGTTTTCATGTTTTCGACTTAGCAGGCTTTTTCTTTTTACTTGATTTTTGATTTTTGAACAAAACGGGTGACATTAGCTTGTCTTGACTTGTTGAGCGGATTGTGACTTCCTCGTTTCTTGATGGATGAGGGATAACATTGTGGTTCCACATCCTCTAGATTCATTATACATGAAGGATAGCCCTCGTAGTTTCTCTTCAAAAAACATCTTCCTTATGAATTTTGAACACTCAGTCAGATTAACTAAAACTACCCTGCCCCAGGTTAAAATTCAAGGTTTTTTCGTATAGAAAAGAAACTTCTGCTTCAAAGGCTCAAAAGGGGTTAGCAAGGGATTATCTTCCTTATATCTCCGGTGTTTAGGAATTTGAAACAATGCCTGTACATCATCAGCAAGATTTTATCCAAAAGCAAACGACCAGAGATTTTGTGTTCTTTAGATCATCATCCTCCCTTCAATCTCTGCCTAGGCAAGAGAATGGGCAACAAGTTGGTATCATAATGCCAAAAGAAATTAAAAATTTGAAAACAAATATGAGTGAAACGAATGAATTTCTTCAAGACAAACATACTCATTGTATTAAGATAATCATACAGATGCAAACAAGTTCTTACATGCAAACAATGTTTTGATAAACAAGAAAAATTACAAAAAGCAGAAATAAGTTAATGATCTGGGAAGGCTTTCCATCTGGACTTGAATTACCGAAAACATCCTTCAAAAATCAAAGTCACCATCAATCGTGTTTACTCTTCGGCGCATGCTTGATTTGAACTTCAAAACCAACGTCCTTGAATGACAAGATACCACTTCTGACCAATTTCTGAACCTCAATTTTCAAAGCAAAGCAACCCTCCAAGTCATGCCCAGGAGCACCTTGATGAAAGGTACAAGTCAAATCAGCTTTGTAGTACCAATGTATCTTCTCAGGAACCTTCGGTGGAGGTCGGGTCTGAACCAAATTCCTCTGCATCAGGATAGGGAACAACTCTGTATAGGTAATTGGAATTGGATCAAACTGGGTTTTCCTCTGGTTAGGAACTTGCTGATTTTGTTGATGAATAGGAGGAACATGATGATTCTGACGATGATTATTTCTTCCTATGGTTCTCTTCTTGGAAAATTTATTATCAAACTTCTTCACACCATTAGCTGAGCTACCATCTTCATATAAACATCCCTTTCCGACATCTTCTTCTAGACGCACTCCCACATTCACTTTGTCAGGAAAGTCATCAGGTGCATTAACCATCACCTTCTCATGAGAGAATGATTTTAGAGTTTCAGTGAAGACTTTTATCATCGCTTCCTCCCTCCTAGAAGGATTAACTTGGGCGGCAACCAGAATTTCAACCAAACCAGTTAAGTGCTCCATACTAGCTTTCAAAATAGTCATCTCTCTACGGAGTTCAGAAACCTCTTGCTTGATATTCTCCATTGTCCTCTTAGCGCGAGTGTTGTACTAGTGAGACCAAAGGAAAAATAAGACTTGGAAAGAGACCTTTGAAAGTGAAACAAAAAATGTAGAATGATACATGATATGCAAAAGAGAGTTTTTATTTGACTTTCAAGGAACTCGAGATATTAAGTTGTAAACATCAAAGTATGAAGATAGAAGATGAATTTTAAATTGGATCAAAGTGTTGATTAAGTTATCATCAAGATCAATCATCCATTTTAGTGGATTAGGGTTTTCACCCTATCAACATCCAAGATCCATTGAGCTTGACAAAACTTGTGATGTTTACAAAGAAAGACTTCTAAATTCCTTGAAAATCAAGTGAAAAGAGTTTCATGGATGCATGAATGCATGGATATGCAACAACCACAAGCAAGGTCACAAATAAAGTCGAAAGGTTCAACGTCACGAGCGTGGAGTCAAGGTAAGGAACACCCCCAAGGTATGTACTAACGGTTTAATCACACTTGTAGAACAAGGTTCTAAGAGTTCCCGGAGTCTACATTCCTCCTTCGGATATTACCAACGTCTTGATTACTCAATAATCAGCAATATTCTCAAGAGAAACTCATCCGAGCGTAGCATCGCGTAACAATTACTTCCGGATTACTCCGTTATAATCTCCGCGCTACACCTAAAAGGCCAAGATGGGTTATAGTTCTACAGTTCCCAGCTTCTCTGGCTCCCAGGTCAAAAATAATAATGTCTTCCTGATTACTCGGTAAACAAATATCACGTTCAAAAGGGCCTTCCACTGAGTGGGGGATCTCATGCCTCCTTCTTCGGGATTACTCCCTCAAAGTTAACATGACTATACTGCCCATCCTATTCCTAAGTGTAACTTAGTCCGGGTATAGGACTTGTCCTTTGTAAATATTATCAACATCCAAATAATCATAATATATACATATAATCAAACAATCAAATAATGATAAAACAGATAAAACAAATTAGGCTTAACCCACTTAGGGATGGACCAGCAAGAGGTCAATCTGTCCCCAGCAGAGTCGCCAATTCTGTAGCGGTGAAAATCGGAGATCAAGCTATTAATTAACTTGACTCACCAAAGCAAGAGTCGCCACCGCGCTTTATTATTTCCAAGGGAAAAGGGAAAAGAGCGAAATAAAACCCTAAAATATGCAATGTAAAATAATACTTAAAAGTAATAAAATACAACGCGTTTTTGAAAGAGATCGAGAGTTCGGGGGTTGGTTATACAATGGGAAGGTATTAGCACCCAATGCATCTGCGGTACTCCGCAGGAACCTTTTGAAATATCTATTTTTGGTTAAAATTGTTTGTTTAGTTAAATGGGTATGGATGAGATTTTGAAGATACGACAACCTAGTGTTGAAGTTTTGGTTTAAAAGAGTGTATGTTTGAAATTAGGTTTTGAGGAGATTTAACTTAAGATTTATAAAACTAAAAAAGTATGAAGAGATTTCACATAATCATATTAGATACTCGATGACATGAAGTCAACAAATTAATTCTTTCCCTTGGATTTAAAGCCACAGACGGATAAATAAGCTAAGAGTATATCAAACCTTAGGTGAAAATAAATCACAAGCCGACAGCATCAAAAAAAACCTAATGTGAGATAATACTCCAAGCATCAGATAAAGCTCACAGTATCAGATAAGGCTCAAGATATTGAATAAGGCTCGCGGTATAAGATTCCCTGCATCACATGAAATATACAGGCAAAACTAACAGCACGGGAAAACTTATGTGCGTCCGTACAATTTTCAGAAGTTAGTTGGACTTAAAAATAAAATCACAATGCGGTGAAAAATAATATTTTCAAAACCTGAATTTATTTACAAGTGAAGTGAATAAAATATACAGTCAAAATATTATGTACAGGTATATATTTACAATACCAAATATTAAATCAGAATAGTAAAATACAATAAAAAGGTAAAAGGGAGAAGTGTGGGAATTGTGGACGCGCTATGCTGGAATGAATTGCTTGAAACGATTTTCAGAAACCTTCACAGTAAACAAACTTGTTAGTAGCATAAGCGGTATAAAAATTAAAATGAAGGAAATTGCAACAATTAGTATTTACGTTTGAAATCACAAAATATAAAAGTCAAAATGAACTTGTATGATGTATATGAACAAATGGATACTTACACAAATAATAATCAAGAATTCATGATATTATTCAATTTAATTCCGATACATGAAAAAAATCAAACTCAAATATACAAATCAAAAATTAGACAACAAAGAATCAATTTCGAAGCTTATGTACAAACACAAATATTAAACCAACAAACTTTGTGAATTGAATTCAATTTGAAACATCACCAATACCACTTTTAAAATGATTTAAACAACAAAACAAACATCAACACCGACAATTCGAGATTAATCAACTCACGCCAAAATTACATTAAGCTCAAAAAGTGATGAAAATAAGTTTTGAATCAAAGTTTTAGTAAGATGTAAATCCGGACAGCATAACGGTAATAAATCCTTCATCACAATCTTTACAAGAACAAACCGGAATTTTCATACAATCTTTATTACAAAAACAAACTTTGCAAACTCAATATAACCGTATCAAACACGAGCAACATCATTGTAACATTATACAATCTAATTTCCATAATTATACGCTATGAATTTAGACGGCATAATGTTCACAACGCAGTTAGGCCATTTCCATTAGATTTTGTCACAATTATCTTACAACAAAACACTTATTAATTCAAATCAAAACCAAAACACTAGCATAGGCAGCAACTTAACATAAAAGAATTCCACATAGCAACTTAGCACTTTGGCTTTGGATCAAACATATGAAGTGCATAATCAACATGGTTCAATCAATATAAACAACACTGCACCAGATTTAATGCAAGATATTTGGCATAAGCTTTAACTATCAAACAACAACACCAAAGAAACAAATTCGAAAATTCGAATTCGATATCAACCAAAGCGAGAAAGTGAAATTTGAATAGAATCGATACCAAATTACCTTTAATAGTGACACGTTGTTGTTGATTCAGTGTTGTTGTCGAAGTTGTTGAATCGGAAATGGGAAAAAAATTGAACTGGATCGAGTTGAAAATGTCGGCACGACGATTTTGTTTGTGAACGTTGAAGGTGATGTAACGATTGAAAGAGGGAGGTCTACTGTTGTTGTTGACACCGGAAGCACGAGTAGCAAAAGGGTTTGGCCGGAATCAATGGTGATGTGGTGTGGATAGGAACCTGTTAGACAAAAGAAATGTATAAGGGTTTTGGGTGGCAAAAACAGATGGATATGGTGGATACAGAGGTGGGGTTTCGACTATGTTACATATGGCCGTGGTAATGGTGGAGTGGGTAGGAGTTTGGCTAGTGAAATTGAAGGAATATGGTGGATATGGGGGGTATCGAGGTGGGGGTTAGGCGACTGTGTTACAGATGGCGGCGGTAACGGTGGAATGGGTAAGGGTTTGAGAGAATAACGGTGCAACACAGTGGGGTGAGTGTATGTTGTTTGACGGAATTGATAAAGGGAAGCGGAGGAGGGATACGACGGAATGAACAGGGGAATCAGAAGGTTGCTGTAATGGATGGTGATGTTGAAATTGAAGAGGGGTTAGTTACTGGGAATAAGGGGTGGAAGATGGAGGTTGGGTTGTTATTCGTGTTGAAGAAAGAGGAAACGGAAGGGAGTATCATTCGTGTGGAGAGAGTTGTGAGAGAGATGGGTTATATGGTTGTTGAAGAAAAGGGGAAAGGGATAGTGAAGAGAGAGAGAGAGAGTTCGCTGGAAAGAGAGGAATAATTGAAGAGCTATTTACTGTGATGTTATTTTTGTTTTTTTTTGTGTGTTACAAAGAAAATGAAGATTCTTTAAATAGAGAGAATGAAAAAGGAATATTGTTTTCAGATTTAATCTGATCCGTCCAAAATTATTAAATTTGCATTTATCCGTTATTTTTGCTAACAGCCAATAAGAATCAAGCATAGTGTAAATAATATATTTTTGTGACCAAATAGCCCTTAAATGATAAGAATAACCAAAAAAACTAAAAGTATTAAAATTGACTCAATTTAAAATAATTTTTCTGAATAAAAAATAAAGACCTAGAATGACTGAAAATGATTAAAAAAAAATGAACGAAAATTTATCCGAAAAAATAAAATGAACACATTAAAATAAACTACATGTCACACAGATTAAAGAAAAAATATTCAAAAGTCGAAATCAAAATAAAATGATAATAATAAAAAAATCAGGTTAAACGGACATTTACGGTTAAAAACGAGACTTCAAACTATACCGAAAAAATAAAGCGAGCATACCGCCATAATCTACGCGTCATGCAGATTCATAAAATGATCGGTAAGAGGTGAAAACTTGAAATATTTTTCTCGCTATTTTTTCGTACAATATCGAATCGCTTTTAACGGTCTGTCTATAAAACCAAAATATTTTTATTATCGACATATAAACAACTTGGAGCAATGCAACAAATGAGTAAAGAGATAAAAATGCATGAAGTGAAATGTCAGGTGTTTTTTTAACTAAAAGACGATGCAAACTTTGATTTAAACTGACTTTTCTGGTCAACTTAAATACGACTAATGATGCAAAATATGATGAATGAAGATATTTACTAATGATTGTGACCAAATGACAAAATATGGTATGAATGTGCGACTGAAAAAATTAGGGGCGAAATTTAGGGTGCAACAGTTGTGCCTTGATGAATCAGTCTTCGAGAATCCACAATCAACCGTACTTCTGGCTTGAGAGACTCAAAACCTTAATTGAGGCGCGACACCTGATGCTCTTGATTCAGACCTGTCTCTGCACATGAAGCAAAAGAAAACATGAACATACACCTTTGTATGGATTATAAATTAGTGATACATAGGCTAAAAATGTTCAAAACACTTGACAATCTTCGCATAGTCAATGCTTGAAAGTGAGAGGTTAAAACCGACTGTATTTCGTGACCTTGACTTATCTTTAAAAATGCAAAAATAAAAATGGGATCTTAGGTCAAAATTTGGGGTACAACAGCTGCCCCTATTTAAGTTTCTTCTATCTGGAGATATGAAGATTGGGATCTTCATTTCGACGAGATTGAAGGGACTTAAATATAGAATACACAATTTTTGGCCTTAAGATACCGCGATTATGTTCATGATATGATATGAATGTAATGCTCTGAATTTTATGGGGAATGACGCCATACGAGACAGACTATGCTGGAGAAACCATGCACATTATACAGTAATCCCACAGAGGAAGAGGTTGTAACTCCACTGGGGAAACAGAGTCATAGACTTAAATGAGAGACTCTTGAATGATTTACATCAGTGTTGATACTGGAAAAGAAATGATTTACATCAGTACTGAGACTGGAAAAGCATATGATTGACATCAGTACTGTGACTGGGAAAGGAAATGATGGACATCAGTACTGAGACTGGAAAATGATTGACATCAGCACTGTGGCTGGAAAACAAAATGATTGACATCAACACTGTGGCTGGAGATAAACATCTCTGATTTCTGAATTTTACCAAGAACGGTAACACATTTCTTCTTTAACCAAGATATCGCTTGAAAAGGATAAAATAACAAACTTCCCCACGGGACTTTTCCGAAGGGATGCCATTTGCTGAGTAGACATTATTGTTGGGGATACACAAGCTGCTCAAATAAAGAGGCCACCACTTGCTTCCTTTCAAAGGTGTCAATAACATACAAGCTGCTCATGAAGAGACTGCCACTTGCTTTCTTCAAAGAATATTAAAACACACAAGCTGCTCATGAAGAGTCCGCCACTTGTTGCCAAAAACCCACAAGCTGCTCATAAAGAAGCTGCCACTTGCTGTCTTCAAAGAATATCAAAGCACACAAGCTGCTCATGAAGAAGCTGTCACTTGTTGTCTTCAAGGGAACAATAACACAAGTTGCTCAAATAGATAAGCTGCCACTTGCTGTCTTCCAAAAAACTAACGTACAAGCTGCTCATGAAGAGACCGCCACTTTCTGTTTTCCGTACAAGCTGCTCATGAAGAGACCGCCACTTGCTGTTTTTTCAAGAGAAAAATAACACACAAGTTGCTCATGAAGAGACCGCCGCTTGCTGTTTTTTCAAGGTATCAATAACATACAAGTTGCTCATGAAGAGACCGCCGCTTGATGTTTTTCAAGAGAAAAATAACACACAAGTTGCTCATGAAGAGACCGCCGCTTGCTGTTTTTCAAGAGAAAAATAACACACAAGTTGCTCATGAAGAGACCGCCGCTTGCTGTTTTTAAAAGATAACAGTAACACACAAGTTGCTCATGAAGAGACCGCCACTTGTTGTTTGTCAAGAGTATCCATGACACACAAGTTGCCTCATGAAGAGACTGTCGCTTTCTGTTTCCCAAAAAGATACCCATAAAATATCGTGAAGATATTGCTGGAGGTGAGAACCAATAATTTCATCGAGGATGGACAAACTGCTCATGAAGAGACCGCCATTTGACGTAGAGAAATCAGAAATAATCAAACTGCTCAAATAAAGAGTCAGTCGCTTGTTGTCATGTCGATATTCCAGAAGAAGGTTGTGATAACACTGCTGGGGAATAAAGTTCATCTTCAATGGGAAACCAAGAATGGATCCTTCCTGAGAAGACCAAGTATTTATATTTCAAAATAAATGCACTCTCCATCTAGGTTACACAGCCTAGAGATATCCACAGGGTATCGTTCACAAGAGACAAAGCTCAATCCAGGAATAAACTGGAGAGAAAAACAGTCAAACAAGACTCCACCCAATGAGGAAACAACTCAAATGGGGATTTATCCTATCCAGAGATGGAAAAGGAAAGCTAAAGCAAGATTCTTCCACGAGAGTTAACTCAGTGGGGAATTAGAAAGAAGGCGCATTTTCTGCTTAAGTTGGCACTCTACTTGGAAAGATCAAATACATTATTTGAATAGACCCAACCAAGGTATACGAACTCAATGACATCAACAAATACAACTGTGCATGCATGATGCAAGTGTGAATGAATAAATGAATGCCATGTATATGCTGACAAGACAGACAAGGGAGATGGTCAGAAGATGATAAGACATCACAGTACAACTCGACACTCGGCTAATCTCAACAGGATGGTAACATTACTGGAGATAGAAAACAAAAGCCATCATTGGAGCAAAGTCCTTTTACAAGGCTTAAATCTCTTTGGAGAGGAAGATATTTTCAGGTAGAAAACCCAAAGTCCAGTCTTCTATCACTAACAATCCCTTGAAAGGATGACAACACGAACACTGTTTCGGCTGGAAAAAGCCATGCTTAACTGGAGATACTGGGAACACCACCCTCTGATAATGTGTGCAAAACATATCACATGTCTTGACAAATCTGGATTGCCCCTGAGACTAATTTTGGATGCCCCAAGTTTACTGCTGATAAGCTGCATGTTGCACGACAATTCTTGCGAATAGCTTCACTTCTAACATGCCCCAAGCTATCTGGTTGATGAGGAGAAATCGTCTCAAGAGGATTTTACAAAAGACCTGGCATTCACCATGCTCTGGTGTCTTCAAACTCTTAAAGGAATTCATCAAATCTCGACGTGATTGCCCCGGATTGACTGTAGTTGGCACAACAAAGTCTTCAAATTTTTCCCCAAAAGAGTAAACAAGTTGGGAAAAGCATTAACTGGGAGAAGCAACATGTTCGTGCTTAAGGTCTTCATGTGGCATGCCTCTGGATATGATTTTTTTTGAAATGATTCGCCAATTTCTCAACATAGTTTCAGGCCTTAAAAGAATAAACTCATCGCTAGTGCTTATATGTGAGCTTCCTTGATACCAAACAAATGTTTTGCAGTTAGAAAAAGTTTATTATGAGAATGAAAATTCTAATGCAACAGTTATGTAAGTCTTGAAGATTTTGAAAAGATATCCCACAAATTTTGCGAGTTAGAGCACCATTTATTTTTGTATAGAAAAATCATATTGATACCAACATAACTATTTAGAAAACATTCATGGGAGTCAGGAACACTATCTCATTGAAGTATGCTTTCAAAATAACCTTGCTTCAATTAGGACTTTTGAAGGTTGTAATGTGGTCTAGTTCATGGTTTTAGAAAAAAGGATTTAAGGCTCAAAATATTTGGTGCCCACCCCCTTCATGATGTTCTCCAATCCTATGTTCAGTTAATTCAACATGAGCGTTCATCTCTCAAAAGGATTTTGTGACGGTTAAGGAAACGAAGAGGCTTTCGGAGTAGAAACCACCCTCATGTCTTCGTGTTTGTAGTCACTAATTTGTTCTTTGCTGAGGAATTTTCTTTGTAGTCCTTTCTTTGCAATTTTTATTTTCCCTAACTTTTGCCTGAACTAATTCTTTTGAATTGATAGTCCAGCGGGATGCCTTAGTTTTTGCCTAAGTCGTAAGTTTTCATGTTTTCGACTTAGCAGGCTTTTTCTTTTTACTT